ATTGCATAACAAGTATGAGCTCATAAAATACCTCGCTACAGGAGCACCTGCACTGGTGAAGCGGGGAATCTTATTCGATCATCTTCCTTTGCACCCTAGGAGTTCAGAGGTTTCAATTAAAACAATTTTATTCGCTTTATAATGTTTGTTTTCCTTCATCATGTATTATATCTACTGGCGAGGAAAAGTTTCCCATTGCAAAGCTAGTTCAGGAAGAATAGTAAAATATCTGTCATTACAATTCCTAGCTCTTTTCGTCCATTTCCCCCTATGTCTTCCTTGCTGTTGCTTGTGTGTGTGTGTGTGTGTGTGTAACCTGTTTCGATTTCCTCGAAATTAAAAACATAATAGAGGAATACTTTTTATTCGTGACTCTCTTGTACCTCATTCACACCATCATAAACAGAAAACTGAAAAACTAAATTTTCCTTAGGATTCAAGTAATCGATGTGCAACAATTGAGGTCGACAAACATCGGTTTAAGCAGCTTCTATGAAAAAAAATTTTCGATCCTGCTTAACAAAACAGCTTTAAAACATGTTTAAGCCTTGGTGTGAATGGGGTATTGGTCTCGGTTCAATTGAATAAGCGGATAAGCGAATAAGCGAGCGAAACAACTCCCCGAAAGCGGTTCAACGCACTTAATTTCCAACGGATTCTAGCTCAGTGGAGAATTTTTCATTCCAGTGTCGAGAGTAATCTGGAACGGTATTTTTCTATTTTGATTTGCTGTGTAACTGGTCTGACAAAATCTCACGCCACATTCTAAAGCAGTTACCAAGGAATTAAACCTATAATCACGAATAGAATATGTTGTGCAAACAAGCAGCATTCAAGACGGCGTTGGCACCCAGTACTTGTACTTCTAGTGATATATTAAAAAACCTGGCACCAGTCTCTTTCGCTCCATCTCTTTATCTTTTGTTCGATTTATCTTTTGTTTTTAAAGCACAAGGAAATTCATTCAATGGAATATCCTTCGCCCTAAGAGTCATACTAACCGTTCATACTGACTCACCATGTGGTGTACCAACATTTGAAACGTGTCTCTTCTGACCATACGACAACGAGGTGGGATTTCAGTGCGAAGAAATTTTATTTGAGCATTTTCTTTGGTAAAACTCCACAAAGAACTTACCTAAAATTAGTGCGAAGGCTAAACTAGTTCCCAGTACCTCCTTCCTTGGTAGAATTTCAATTTACGAGTTTAAATAAAATGAACTAAAAATTTTTAAAACTGCATACTACAAAACCTTGTTCAAAATATTACAGAACACCCAGCATCGTATTCATTAATTCCCCTTTTCGCCTCTAAAGTAAAGTTGGGACATGACTACTTTTAGCCACAGGCTGTTTGTTGTGTCAATTCTTATAATAGATATGAAAAAAACGGCCTTAGAACGAGTGAAAACAAGCTAAATGTAAGATCTTGATCGTCTTCCCTCAACAGTTTGTGTTCATTCGACTATCATTGTCTATAAAATAGCGAGAAGTCTAATTATTTCAATGTGAAGTCATTTTCAGCTCTGCTTCCAGTGCAATTTACAGTCATAGTGCTGATGTGCTTAAAAGGTGATTTAAATGCACAAACTTATCAATTGATCACGGGCTCAAGTCCTAGCCAGTCAAAGGCCCTAAAGGCAGCAACGTGTTTCTTCTCCTTCGAAGCCTTTATTTGGGATGCCACGTGACATTTCTGTCATGACATCACAAGCACCAGCTGGGAGAGGACCGCAACTTGTGTCGCCAATAACAACTTGGATTAGCCAGGACTTGATACAGAATTTTTATTCCAGAACACGAATATCAGAAATCTTGAACTTGAACATCCCACACTTGCCAAAGGTGGATATCCCAGCATTCGACGCGCCGCTCTCCCGTCTCAGACTGACTCCGGCTACAGGTGTATTTTGTTGATTTACCATCCAAAAGTGTTCATCACCGCACAAAGCATTCACACCATCGAAATGATTACCTTGAAAAGAACAGGGAGACAAATCTAATGTAGTACTACAGTGTTTAATCATGAGCATGCTTATTGTTATCATCAATAGCTGAACTCAACGCAGATGTTTTTCCTGTGTATATTAGCACAGTCTTACAGATCACACCACACTGATCTATTTTTGTCCCAAACAAATCGATGTAACGGTGAGACTTTGGATCCAAGGAGACGCCAAGTGTGGTGCGGACACAAGAGTCGTTAAATAATGTTACTACAAATGAAGCATTCGCCAAATGCAACCTATACCCTTAAATTCATAAATTTATCAGCGCCATAACTCTGCTGTATTCCTTTCCTTAACGAGGAAAGGAGAGAGGGCTTTAAATAGTTTCATATTTTCTCGCTGCAAGCTTTTTTTATGGAGACCCCCAAAAATTGCGTATAGACTTTTGATAACCATTAATAGCATATATACTGTTAGTAACCATATACTTTAAAATTTAACCCTATAGCATCCATAATATAATCTGTCTTCTAGTTTTGTTGAAGAGACGTGCGGGAAAAAAAATGCGAGCTTCGCTTTTAGGCTTGCCTAAATCTATATATTATATCACATGGTGAAGTTCCATCGTCACTTTTGAACACTTTCGTAATTTAAATCTGACAATTGAAGGAAGAAACTTACTAAAGAAAATTATTTTAGGCCCATGAGGCACACTTCCTTAAGTGACGTTACCAGTTAACTTTGAATCCCTTACAAGACTTTTTAGATACGTTTATTACCATTTGGGCCAAGATATTCTTCTTTCCAAAGTTCATCCAAATCAAGGTCGAATTCCAAAACACCGGGAGTGTATATACCAGAGGCCCTGTAGTGATGAAAGAATTAACCAAGGATTGTTACTTATCCAAAAAGTTCCTTTGGCCGAAATAAAAAAGTCACTGCTTTGTTTAAATAACGATACAGCTTGATACAAGTTTTGATACACTTGTTTTCCTGTATTTGACGCCAAATACGTAAATTGAGTCCTCTATAGCGCGTTATTTTTGTCTTTCTCCAGATAATATTATGATTGCTTTTTCTCAGGGCTTTAAAACCCTGAATTGAAGCGTTCGAAATAAACGAGGTTGACAGACAGAACACCCAGTGCTTTTCCAAAACTGCTGTTCGCAAATTCATAAATGACAGAGATGTTTCCTCACACACTATAAGACACAATAATTTGGTGCTCTGACCTTTCAAGGGCTTTTGTAAAGTTTAGAATTAATGAATCCCAAAGTATCCCCACCCTCCCCTTCCCGCGAATTTCCACATGGACCATACTTACAAGAGAAATATGAGAGATGAAGTAAATATCTCACCAGTTAGGAACGCTCCCAAAAATTGCAAAACATTTCTGAGTTTCCATGAACGTCTGCTTGTATTTGATTCTTTTCCAGCTTCCAGATACAGATATCAACACGCCGTCAACTGTGGCCGAATCAGTTGCATTACTACAAGAGACTGGTGACTGACGCTCAACTTCGATAACAACTCCAGATCCACTCTTAAAAGATTTCGTCGCCGAAACATCATTTGTTGTTTGTACATCCACCTCACTATCCAAAACGTCACGCCACTCTAAACAGAAAAATAAAGAATCACCCACCATAACTAAAGTATAGACCCGATAGCTCGACTTAGTGTAATAATTAAAAACACAGTTTTTGGTAGGTTTATAGCCAGCGTTTACGTGTTGACAAGGGCGAATCTAGGGGGGGAGGTCAGAGGGCTCCGAAACTCTCGCCTCTCCTTCAAGCCTTGTCAGACCTTCAAATCCTTTCTAATGATTAGAGATGAGCAGTTTGCTTCGCTTTGCGCTTCAAATAGAGCTTGCCCTAGGGTTATTGGTAAGTCCTGGTAAACGACAGAAAGTCAGGTGTCCTTAAGCACTTTCCTACTCTCCATCCCTTCCCACCCACTTTTTCTAGATAAATTTAACTTTGCATTTAGTACAACAGATATATCATATTAGACATTTTGGTGTGTAGTATCGCTGAGTATTTTTACGACTTGTGCCGTATTTTGACGAGCACGGAGGGCGAGTCAAACTACAAACAATGAGTCTACTCTAATAAGATATTTATGATCCAACTGCTTTATTAATTTCAAGCGCATTTCTTTAAGAGTAGGAAAAGCGAGGCAGGTAGAGAAGCGTAGTGCGCGTAGCCGACCGGTTAAACAGGCTTAACCACTTGTACAATATCTCAGGATATTTGTACTCGACTCGCACGTTATTCGTACTTTACTTAATGCAGTTGGATAATAAGGCAGAGTATCAAGTCCATTAAACTTACGTCTCCCTGCAGAAGTGACCTTTACAAAATGAACGTCTCCAATCCTGGAAGAAGAACCAAGTTCTGGCCATTTAAGAATGTTAGGTATGTAATTTTTCTGAACTTCGTTGTACCAATTTGTAATTTGGGCATCAGTGAGAGAGTTAAACCAGATGTTTAAGTTCGAAATCCTTCCATAGAATGGGGTGTCGTTTGTAATAGTACCGTCATTGCCCTGATTTTGTCCGACGATTACTTGAGTCCACTGAACGTTTTCGTACTTAACTCCGTCGCTGGTCTTTTTTGAACCGAAATTTGCATTTACAATCGCTTCCATTTTAGGTGACTGGTCAGGTTGGATACGAACACAGAGGAAGACCATTTCATCCTTCGGAGAACTGGTAGCGAATACGTTGGAAAGGGAGGTCCTTCAAAAACAAAAACGCAAGTATGTACTTATAGGTAATCTCTTTATCCCCTATAGTACTGAATATAACTGAGTTTATGTAGCTCTTTCGCGTGCGCCGATTGGCTGGTTCGGAAGTGATTAGGAAGTACTACTCACCTCCAAGTGGCCAAAGAGACAAAATAGCGCGTCAAAAATTTAACCGCCGCTCATTTTTTGGTTTGTTGACAGAAATAAGATAGTATTTTTGGTTTCTGTGTGGTATATACTAAAACAATTATTTACGTCAGTGTCAGTGAGTAGTTGTGAACTAACATTGCAACAATCTTACCAAAGGTTACATTATTTTTTCCTTCGCTTTAAACACATACTACTTAACTTAAAAATAAACATTAAAATAAACAGGACGACTGAATGTTGATATACTTGTCTTAAAATCAGCCTTTGAAACAAAAAAATGCCAAGCTAACAGGATCGGCAGGAAAAGTCTTCTCTATTTTAACGACAGAAAAAGCGCTTATAGAAATTGATAACGACAAGGTGAATGATTCTTCTCTGATAATTGTGGATTACAAAAACTCCTTACCTGTCACTTCCAAATGAAAAATAGATGTTGCCTTCTCCGTCGATTCTCAATCTCACAACGTTGTGGCTGCCGCCATTCTTCTCGTTCAAAATACTTATCACAGTCATCTCTTGGCTCTGTTGTAAATCTGGTGTGTGTATCCAGGCACAGACTGTAAAGTGTGAAACCCACTTGTAATTCATATCGTGTTTCACATAGCTCGTATGTTGAGTTTTTCTGAATATAAGCTCAAAGTCATAGTCATCTGAATTTTCAGGTTGTCCATTGCCTCTATCAAGACTTGCAACAGTTTCTACGAAATGGAAAACAAGTACAACTGTTACATTAAAATTGGCAAGTTTCTGGCCACACTCTTTGCTACTTCGCTTGTTTTCAGCCATCGTTTTTTAAGATTTAATTGAGCTGAGATTTAACGATATTTTGGTAAAATAAATCGTAAATTTGTCTCTTCGTATTTCTTAGTAGGTTTTGTTTCTTCCCCTCCTCCGCTGCCCCCTCCCCACCCCCCACACATTGCATGCACGTTATTTGTTTGGTTCATTTGGCCCCAGACCTCGCTCTTATAAGGAAACAACTGCAACGCAAACTAATATTGATAAGAGGTTTGTGTTAGAAATTGAATGTTTTAAAAACTGCACATTGTTGACATTTTATTGGCTTTTCTTAATTTGTTAGAGAATAGGCGGTATTCGGCCATTGTAATGGCATCATAAGGAATAACAGGTTGAGTTCGTGGGATATCTTAAGCGAAAAAATGAAGTTTACTATACTCACGGGATGCGTCCGTACTCCGCGCGACGAGTGTTGATTCTGAACAGTTTTTGCCTGTGAATGCATCCGTACAGTTGCATTTGTAGGTTTTTGTACTGGGTACTTCTACACACGTTCCACCGTTTTTACAAGGATTAGCATCACAATCTAATGAATTAAAAAAAAGTGTACTGAAAGTGATAAAAACTTCTACAGGTCATGCACGTTATTTGTTTGGTCCATTGGGCCCCAGACCTCCAGGAAACAACTGCGCTGCAAGCGAATATTGACAAGAGGTTTGTGTTGGAAATTGGAGACTTTAAAAACTGCACATTATTGACATTTTATTGGCTTTTCTTAATTTGGTAGGGAATACGCGGCATTTGATCATGGTAATGGCATCATAAGGAATGACAGGTTGAGTTCTTGGGATATCTTTGCAGTGTGAAAAGTGAAGAGAAAATATGAAGTTTACTATACTCACGGGATGCGTCCGTACTCGGCGCGACGGCTGTTGGTTCTGAACAGTTTTTGCCTGTGAATGCATCCGTACAGTTGCATTTGTAGGTTTTTCTACTGGGTACTTCTACACAAGTTCCACCGTTTTTACAAGGATTAGCGTCACAATCTAATGGACGAAAAAAAGTGTATTGAAAGTGGTGAAAATTTCTAAGGATGAATTTTACAGTGAATCGATGTAAAGCAAGATGTAACTTGATAATTAATGCCATTGATGTCTTTTTCTTTTTCGTCATCGTCAGTGATCGTCATCTGTCCTGGCCGCATCCCCTCTTTTGAGAGGGAAAAATCGTGGGAGTTATAAACTCTTTACACCCTATCATTAGTATGCATTTCCTCTATACAATAGACAAGAGAGAATTAATTGAATGATCAAGAACTTTTCAAGTTGTCGATCAGTTGCTTTATTCTCATGCCCTCAGAGTTTGAATAAGGGGTGATCTCTGAGGTGAAATAAGCTACCAGGGTTACAATGTTGAGCGTTAAGAGGCAAATTGTGTTAAGGCTCGGTCAACATTGTTGCACGCAGCGTGTTGCACACGTTTGGTCACCCTGTAGCAACATGTTGTTACAGGGTGTAGCAACATTTTGCTCCTTTATAACATCTTACAACGCGATCCAACATTATTGCAAGATGTTGAAATGTTGCGTGCATTTGGCCGCGCCTTTAAGAGCAGGTTTTATACTTACATGTCACGGTCTGCGAACATCTCATGCCACAGGAGTTTTCAGCTCACTGACATTTGAAAGTAATATTACTGGCTATCGTTATAAATGCTCCTTGTGAATTGGCGTATTTGTTGTTAAATCGTATCATGAATTACTATTAAGCATCATGGAATTTGATAAATTGATAAATTAATGTGATTCATTGTACATTTTTGTGTGTTCGTTTGTTTTCTGATCGCCATTTTCGCCATTGTTTTCTTATCGTCATCGTCCTTGTTATCAACATCATCATCTGAATTGCCACTGTGACGTCACAAACCAAACAATAAGAGTTATGGAGCATTATGGAAGAGAAGAAAGGCATCGTTACAATCAAGAGAAAGCAAAGGCTCGCTGGTGGTCCATTAATTTTCTCTTAGGCTTGAATGTATAAAATATAAAATATGAAGTAAATACAGTAGAGTGTAATACAAGGGCAGAAGAACCTAAAACTCACCTTTCACTGAGTCACTACAATCAACCAACTCTGCCTGTCCCGTGTAACTGCTATCCAGCCAGTGCTTGTTGCTGATGTTGTATTTGCCTTCACTCGCCTCTATTTCCCGGCAAGATATCGCTGGTAATTCAGGAATGGAACCCAAGGGAACTGAAAAATTAAGAGTGTCTTTGATAAGCAATTTCGTTGCAGTGGTTCGCTCCATGTCATCTCGCCGGCCCAAAAAAGTCTGAGCATTTTTGTGATTGCATCTTTATCATTATCATAAGAAGGGCGTTGGTGCTGGTGGGTGATTCATCAAGACACCGAAGTAAACTAACTGTCAGAAACCATTAAAACTGATCACATACCTCTGTCTACGGAACGTCGCTTATAAAATCGTTCAGGGTCAGGACGGAAATTCAGGGGCCTCGCCTCCTTGGTACGGTTATTCAATTCGCAAATCCTCTCCCCTACGACGTAGTTATAGCTTTGACATGTGATTTCTCTTTCGCAATGGACTTCACACTGATGTGGGGCTGTTGCTGACATTATTTTGAAGACAAAACCATCAAGAGCCATACCAGGAATACTGATTTCTGTCCGGCATTGAGCACCAGCCATAACGAGGGCAGTAAAAGATGCCAAAAGATGTAAAATACAATATGTCCAAGTCATGTTACCTGTGTTTCAAAACTAAACGTGTCTTAGTTGAGCTCATAGTGGGAATAAGTCAGTCGCAAAACCAGAGGAAAGTATCGTGCACGCGAGCAAAAACCTATGCACGCACGAGCAAAAAGTCACACGTGCGCGAGCTAAAAAAAGTCATGCGAGCACGACGAAAAAGTCACGCGTATACGATTAAACAGTCAAACGTACACGAGCAGAAAGTCACGTGCACTCGAGCAAAAGATACCGCGCACACGAGCAGAAGGTCTCGCGCATACGAGCGAAAGTCATGCGTTCACGAGAGAGAAAGAGATTAAAAGGACAGCTGTTCTTTCGCACCGTCAGATATTCATCAAGAATATTCGGTTATAAATTACATATCAAGAGAAAGACGCTCTGGTTTCTTTTCAATCAAGAATGATGCTGCGAGAGTATTATTCAGGGACCGCGCAGAGGGAGGGGCCCCCCCCCCCCCCCCCCACTTTTTTGCAAGAATAAAAATAAATTAAACAAAAAATAATTTCACAAAAAAATTTTCCTTCACGCATTCTTCTTTAGCCCCCCTACTCGAAAACTTGCTGCGCAGTCCCTGTTATTCAATTCCTTTCGATCACACAAGTAAATATAAACCAAGAAGTAGAGTACTTGCTTTCATTGACGCGTTTTACGTTTCGATATCACTAGCATTAGCCTTATGTTGACCTGTATACAATCGATAGATTTCAAGTAAATTGGTCACCATTGTCTGATAAATTCTCCTTCTCTTTTTCGACGAAAGTGGAAGGAAAATAATTGAAATTTGTATAAGATCAGTTCGCGGGTCAATTCTGGGCGGGAAAAAAGACGAAGTTAGGAATAGGTGCCCGTTTATTTAGCGCTCAACATACTGATAAAGAACGAAAAGATCTCTAGTAATATGCTACGTGTATGTATGGGAGTGTTTTTTGTTCTTTCATGACGAAATCTGGTTTTAAAATATTAAAAGAGAATAGACTCGGATAGCAACCGAAGTTGAAAATCTTTTTACATAACAGTGAAAAAAATAACATTTCCGGCAAAAAACATTGATCGACCCTTTCTATTTATGACAACGGCCACATTCTAAAAATCCTATTCAAATAAAGGAAATTTCTCTTTGCTCTAAACTATCAAATATAACAGAATTGTGATTGATATTGTTAATCCTTAACAAATTTGTGGTGAAATCGCAACCCAAAATGTTCCTCACCTTCCAAGATGTCAGAAAACTGATTTCATAGCCTATTTAGCCAATTCTACGCGTAGCTTTCTAAGGAGCTTTCGTTGTATCTTTTGCTGACTGATTGCAGTTATAGCTTCCTCGCAAACAGATGGAAAAACAAGTTGTTTTTTCTCTTGTTTACATTTCACCCCAGTCGGCTTTTGGTATTTATTTCCTTTTTTTAACCACTAGAATATTAACTGTAATATTAACCGGAGAGTTTTTCATTTCCGTACCTTTGATCTCCTGCATAAATACCAGTCTAGAAATTATTAACAATAGAAGGCAGGTTTTTAAAAGTAAACACTAATGTTAGATGAACATTCCCTACAGGTTCTGCAAGGAAATAAGAAGTATATTTATGAGGTAATTTCCTGTGTAACCAATGAGGCGAAGCTGCTCCTAAAGTATTCATGTTGTTGAGACTTACAGAAAGCACTCGAAACCGTCGTATAACCCCCAAAGCTATCAGAGAGTACTTCTGTTTTCTAAACAAGCTTCACACCGCAGAAAAACATTTTAAACATCCCACCTCATTCATTGTTTTTTAAATTTCCGAGAATCTTTTTATTTTACATTTGAAGACAGAGTACCTGATGAAATTAAAACTTGCTGTAGCGACCAAAAAGCTCTATCTTTCAAATTATTACGCATGTTGTCCCTCGCAGTTACCCTTAACTGCAGCGGCTGTATTTGCAGGCTATAGATTTCCCAAATCGAAAGCAATAACTTACCACACAGTATTCGGTAAAATATTACCTTTATTTATCTACAACTGAACGAATTTCTCTGATGTTTTAATCGAATTAGTTATATTTCATTGTTCCCTTAATGCCGAATGCGTGTTCTTACATCGCATGACAAGGACGAACTGATAACATACCTCGCTACAAGAGCACCTAGACCGGTGAAGCACCCTAAAGGTCCCCTGAGGTTTCAATTAAAACGCTTTTTTTCGCTTTATTGTGTTTATTTTCCCTTGTCATCAAATAATTCTACCGGCGAGGAAAATTTCCTATTGCAAAGCCAGCTCAAGAAGAACAATAAAATATCAGTAATATTAAGACCTCTTTTCGTCCATTCTTTCCCCTATGTGTACTTTGCTGTTCCTTGTGCGTGTGTGATAGCCACTGAAGAAACTCGAGTAAACAAAATTAAACGTTGCGTATAAACTGTTTCGTTTTCCTCAGAAAACATAGAAAAGGAATATTTTCTTATCCGTGACTTTCTCGATCTCATTTCAATCGAATAAGCGGCTCAATGCGTTTAATTTCCAGCGGATTCTAGCTCAGTGGAGAAATTTTCATTTGAAAGTCGAGGGTAATCTGGAATGGTAATTTTCTATTTTCATTTGCTATGTCACTGATCTGGCAGAATCTAACCAAATTAATTACAGTTGATAACATATAACCGCTATATATCTGCAAATGTACGAATTGGTCTGATGTTTTAATCGAAATAAAAACATATATTTCAATAATCTCGAACAGGTGTTCTTGCATCGCGTGACAAGTATAAGCTCATAAAATACTTCTTTTGCACCCTGGGAGTCCAGAGGTTTTAATTAAAACAACTTCATTCGCTTTATAATGTTTATTTTCCTTTGTTATATATTATGTCTACTGGCGAGGAAAATTTTCCCATCGCAAAGCTAGCTCAGGAAGAAGAATGAAATATTTGTCATTTTCGTCCTTGCTGTTCCCTGTGTATGTGTGTAAACTGTTTCGTTTTCCTCGAAAAACATAAAGAAGGAATATTTCCCTATTCGTGACTCTCTTGTATCTCATTCACACCAGCAAACTATGCTTGGTTAAACCGGGTTTTACTAAATGAAAATCATAAACAGAGAATTGAAGAGCTCTATTTTCCATAACTTTTTTTTTTTATGTGCAACAACTGAAGTCGACAAACATCGGTTTAAGTAGCTTCTATGTAGAAAACAATTTTCGATCTTGTTTAACAAAGCAGCTTCAAAACATGTTTAAGCCTTGTATTGGTCTCGGTTCAATCAAATTAGCGGATAAGCGAATAAGCAAGCGAAACAACACCCCGAAGCGGTTCAATGCACTTAGTTTCCAACGGATTCTAGCTCAGTGGAGAATTTTTCTTTTGAGTGTCGAGAGTAATCTGTAATCCGGTATTTTTCTATTTTGAGTTTCTATGTGACTGGTCTGGCAAAATCTCACACCACATTCTCAAGCAGTTACCAAGGAATTAAAACTATAATCACGAATAGAATATATTGTGGAAACAAGCAACATTCAAGATGGCGTTGGCACCTAGTACTTGTACTTCGAGTGATATATTAAAAAACCTGGCACCAGTCCCTTTCGTTCCAAACAATGATAACAAGTCTTCTGATTCACTCATGTTTGTTTTCTGATTATCTTCTGTTTGCTTTTTAACGCATAAGTAACTTCATTTATTGGAATACCCTGCGCCCCAAGAGTCACACTAACAGTTCATACTGACTCACCAGGTGGCGAACCAACATTTGAAAACTTCTGACCATACGACAACTAAGTGGGTTTTCAGTGCGAAGTAATTTTATTTCAGCATTTTCTTTGGTAAAAATCCTCAGACAAGTTATCTATAATAAGTGCGAAGGCTAAACTAGTTCCCAGTACCTCCTTCCCTAGTATAATTTCAACACGAGTTTAAACAAAATTTTTTGGAATTAATGAACTACAAACCTTTAACATTACATACCATAAACCTTGTTCAAAATATTACAACGGTAGTACAACACCCAGCAACTTATTCATATATTCCCGTTTTCGCCTCTAAAGTGAAGTGAGAACATGACTACTTCTAGCCACAGGCTGTTTGTTGTGTTAATTCTTATAATTAGACGTGAAAAAAAACGGCCTTAGAACGAGTGAAAACAAGCTAAGTGTGAGATCTTGGTCGTCTTCCCTCAACAGTTTGTGTTCATTCGACTATCAGAGTCTATAAAATAGCGAACACTCTAATTATTTCAACGTAAAGTAATATCCAGCTCTGCCTCTCATGCAGTTTACTGTCATAGTGCTGTTGCGCTTAAAAGTTGATTTAACTACACAAACTTATCAATTAATCGCAGGCTCAAGTCCTAGCCAGTCAAAGGCGCTAAAGGCAATTACGTGTTTATTCTCCTTCGAAGCCTTTGTTTGGGGTGCCACGTGACATTCTGTCATGACATCACAAGCATCAGCTGGGAGAGGACCGCAACTTGTGTCGCCA